GCTTGCTTTGTATTGATGTTACATCTGTGCCGTTTTGTAAGCTGTCTCGTGCGTTGATCTCCTCCGACCTGCTCATGCGCCGCCTGAGCTGTCATGGTTGTTGGGCAGGGTGCTCTCTTTTTCATCTTCTCCACAGTTTGTTATGACCCCTTCGATTCAGGTTTGTTTCTCGGAATCTCTCTTTCTGTTGGCATTGGCCTCTGGGGGTCGGGTCGGAGTGCTTCATGCTCTCTTCTGGCGCAGGGGTTTTCTGCTCCTTCAGTCGTGGCGATAGGCTTGTTCGTCTGCAACCATCTCCTTTTCTGGCAAAGAATGAGACTGCTGCTTTCCAGAGGGGTCTTTCAGTTGTTGATGCTTGATTGGTCGGGCCGGGGGTGCATCGTGTTTTGTGTCTGGTTTCCCTTCTTTCTTGTTCGCGGGTGCGGGTCTCCCTGGTCATCCGCGGGGGTAATTAAGGCTAGCCAGCCTGCAGTCTATTCCCGTACCCATGATGATTGCAAGTTCGCTGTTCTTGCCGCCGTTTTTGGCAACATGTCCTGGGCTGACATTCAGGTGCAGGGATTTTGGCGGTCGAACAGAGTCCTGGCTTCTCGTTATCTCATGGAACGTTCCTGGGGCTAAACAGACCTGTGTCGCTTTGGGTCGGTGGTTGCAGCCAGTTGTCTCGACTTCGAGTTGAGGAGTGAGCAGCGACCGCCTTCCGGGTACGTCCCTCTACTTTCCTCTGTGGGTAGTTAGCTCCAGAGACCCACAGGGGCTCCCCCAAGAAAACCAACGTCGAATGTAATGAAACGCCATTTTCTGGGTGAAACCCAGAGGCTACCCGGCATCCCTCCCTCCTTCCCTCCGGTCGGCGGTTTTTGCGTGTTTTGACATCCAGCCTCAGAACTGAAGGGTAGATAGCCGGCACAAGGGGTCTGGGGGCTCCCCCTTCCCCCTCCCCTTCCCGGGGAGGGGAGAGCTGCGCAGACAGCAGCGTGGCAACGTGTAACGTCATGCTCGTTTGCTCATTTCTTTTAGGGGAGTTCTATCCACTTGTTCGGCTTTTGGTAGCAATATTTTCACCAGAATAGGGGTTTGTTTTGGGATGCTTACTTTTCTGGGTGCTTGACCCAGTCGATGGCAGACATAGAATGCTTCCAACCACACGGGGGGGTTTTATAGGCCATTGCTCCCAATGCCTCTCTGAGGGGGCCAGGTTCTGGCTCGTGGTCCCCGGTAGGCCCACAGAACTCCATACACATGACTGATGCCAAAACCTGACATTAGCATATCAGCCTAGTAAGCTCCGGGGAGCCTCCGGGTCTCACCCAAAAAATGGCGTTTCATTACATTCAACGCTGTTTTTTTTTTTTCATGTTAAAATTACGTCCATTTTCAGCCATACGGGCAAACAGCCAAATTCAGACGTACTTTGTAAGAGGACAGGTTGGCTGAAAATTGCTTGGGTTCAGACAACAGGCACCAAAACCCATAGCTGGCCACCAAGAAACCAGAAAGATCACCCTCCCTCAGGACGACTCCAGACTGACTGACCAACACCTGGAACAACTACCACCAGTAGGCCAACACACACACACCTAACAAATGCAGCCAGGCCACAACAACCTGTGCTGGCCTGGGAAACAAGCAGGGGGGACAAGTTCAAGTTGAAGGGAACAACCCTGAAGTGGTAAGCATGATGCCCCATGACAAAAAATAACCAGTCCTGAACCTTGGAGGAATATATATGTCAGTCCATGTCCTGGAGGCCCAGGAACACTATGCTTCACCCTGTAATTGCAGGCAAATGTGAGACAATGTGGTCATGCAGTAGGTCGGGCAGGGAATGAAACTGTTTAAACACAAAAGATCAAGGATGTTCCAGAGATCTGCTGAATCCTGCTTTGGGATTGGGAACAGCCAGGATACCCACCAAAGAGATGAGGTCACTTGACCGCACCCAACGCCAACTAGTCAGCAATGACCAAACACGGTGCCAGGAGGCCTCCTGACCCAACTGACCCGACCCCTAAAAAACGGAAGAAAAGGCTGAACAGCTCCACCAAAGACCATGAGAAACTACCTGAAACGCCCACAAATCATGGTACCAGGTGATAGCAAAACAGGCCAGATTGACACCACAACAGTATAATTACCTAAGTGTAGTTACAGGATGAGAGCTACGCTCGTGGTGTCCCGTCTTCCCAGCACTCTGTCATATAACGCTTTGAAACTACTGACAGTCTTGGCCTCCACCACCTTCTCACCTAACTTGTTCCAACTGTCTACCACTGTTTGCAAAAGTGAATTTTCTTATATTTCTTCGGCATCTATGTTAAGCTAGTTTAAATCTATGACCTCTTGTTCTTAAAGTTCCAGGTCTCAGGAAATCTTCCCTATTGATTTTATCAATTCCTGTTACTATTTTGTATGTAGTGATCATATCACCTCTTTTTCTTCTGTCTTCTAGTTTTGGCATATTTAATGCCTCTAACCTCTCCTTGTAGCTCTTGCCGTTCAGTTCTGGGAGCCACTTAGTAGCATGTCTTTGTACCTTTTCCAGTTTGTTGATGTGCTTCTTAAGATATGGGCACCACACAACCGCTGCATATTCTAGCTTTGGCCTAACAAAAGTCGTGAACAATTTCTTTAGTATATCGCCATCCATGTATTTAAAAGCAATTCTGAAGTTAGAAAGCGTGGCATAGGCTCCTCGCACAATATTCTTTATGTGGTCCTCAGGTGATAGTTTTTTATCTAGAACCACCCCTAGATCTCCTACTTTATCAGAATTCTTTAAAGATTTCTCACATAATACATAGGTTGTGTGAGGATAAACTGCAAAAATGCCAGCACAAGCCCTGAGCAAAACTAGACTGCACCCACGATTGCAATGTTGAGTGGAGGAGGAAGTCTTCAGGTAATGCAGTGGCCTGGGAACTTGCCCCACCCTAGAACCTATGTCGACCAACAACAGGCGAGGTCCCCACCCGACCGAACTGGATCACCTCTGAAAGGAGACAGAATCTTTCAAGCAACACCTGATCAATGGGATAGCATGATAAAGCCGCTGCTGAAGCATCTCGGCTACAATATTCTCGGGAAAGAGGAGAGGAAAAAATGGGGAAATGGCCACAAGGGTAAGAAACCACATCAAATCTATAGAATGGGCCAGCACAGCCTGCTGACATGTGAGGTGGCCCAAATAAAACACCACTGCTGCCTCTCGAACGAAAGGGGGGGGAGCACCTTGGGCAAGGCCAACAGGAGCCAGAACCTTGTGCCACACAGCCTCCACACCCGGAGCGGACCCCAGTGGTACCACATTCTCGCAAAGATGCTCAGCAATCTGCAGTAAGAGCCCGGAAACAGGCAGCTGCACTTGCTGCCACTTGCCCACATCCATGGGAAGTGCCAAAGCAAATAGGCAGGACTGAAGAGAGGCAAATTGAACTCTTACTTAGAAGCACCTGAAAGACGGAGCTAACCTCCTGCCAGTGATGCATGTGTGAAAGACAGACCCCCCCCCCTCCCTGCCAAGACCTAAAGGAAAGGAGAGATTTGCCAGTCAACCAGGACGAGATCGAGACTACAAACTGCATCCAAAAAGCAGAGATAGATCAGATTTCAAAAGAAACTGGGACCATCATTGACAAAGAGTTCCAAACTCCACAGGAGGTACTGAAGCAAATATGTACGAACCACAGAAGGTGCAGCACAGGAGGACAGAAACCTACAGAAAAACAACGAATCCATTTCACCTAATGGGACTTGGGAACAAATCCAAGGGAGGGCAACCGAATGATCCAATTCATACACGGAAAGGGGGATAATAAAAATTATTATCCTTTTTTCAAGAGCACTCCTCAGGGTCCCCTCTGGTCCTTGGAAACTTGCCATGGAGGCCTCGGGGCAGAGCTGAAGTCCTTGCCCAACACCCGAGACAGAAAGGTGTCCTCCCAAGGAGAAGGCTCGGGGCAAGGGGTCAGCGGTGAAGGCGAGCACTTCAAAACCCCAGCAGAACTGGAAGGCTCATCTACCTGTTATTGACTTGAACGAAACCACTTAACGAAGGCCAAGCTACATCCCGAGCTAAACCCAGACCCAACTCCAAAACATTTGGATGCTTCAGTGCCAGAACCAATTAAATGACAACATACTGGAGTGAATAATATGGTAAGAAATGCAGAATAGAGCCAATGAAGAATAGAAGTGCTGGAGGCACATTTAGAGAACACTGTATAAACATCCAAAGTCTACAGTTATATGAAATTAAATATTTTTGTGATCGCACCACCCATCAAAGGAGATATCTCGGTGAGTGCAGTACGGGGGCTAAAGACGACACTTCACTAGGGTGGTGCATGTGCTGTGTCTTATAATGCTTGTTCTTCCATGCCTGAACTTGGCCCTCTACTATTTATGAAGGAGCACATTGTTGCCAACATATTGTCAAGGTTATGCTTGGAAGTTGAATCTTTCTTATAATGATGATCACAACCATGATGTCAGATGTCACTGATTTGTGAGGAATTCTGTGAGGCACTGTACTTGATTACACATAGGACTGTGCAGTTATTCCAAAGATAGCCTGCTTTACAGCAGTATTAACTTCCATTATCATAAAAGTTCTGAAAATATGATGGGTCAAATGCTTTCTAATCACCTATCAGAAAAAAAATTCTTTCATTAACATCACATCTATGTGGTGAATTTAAAAAAAAAATTTGGTACTAGTTGTAAGAGATGTTGGTTAAGTTTGCTTTGCATCAAAGGTCAGGGGAAAATTTACTAAAACTATAATTTCTACAAACTGAAAATAAAATCCCACTCATTAACTATATTTATTTTAAATGTGTTATTTTTTATCTATTGACCAAGTTTTCTGTTTTCTGCATTGCTACCTCTTTATCAGCAGAATTGGTCAGTCTCATTATTGTTTGCATATTGTGTTTTGCCAACACTATTTTTGTCTTATATTTGTAATGTCTGGAAATGTGTGATTTCTATTTCATTAGTGTATCCTGTTGAGCCTTTTGGGAAACAGCTACAGAAATGCCTGGAAAGCAAGCAGCGATTGTGGCCTAATCCTCCAAAGTTCATTGATTCGGTTGCTGATGCTATTCGCACTCAACAGGTAACAAAGCAACGTGATCCCTATCTGTTTCAATGCTTTATTTTAAGTCAGTCTTGTAGTAATTTTTGTTTAGAGTATAAGGTCACGAAGTTTGTAAGCCGTACCCTAGAGTACGAACGCATGAAACCTGTCCTTAATTTCTTATTTACAGTACTGTATAGGTATGTTACTTTAAACTAGGGATGTAGAACCAGTGGGCATTTATACACACTTCAAACACAAGAATGACCACGTGGGACCGGTACCATATTTTTGCATTGGCAGGACTCAAGAAACAACCAAAGTGCATGCATTACATTTATTTAACCTTTAAATGGCGCATGGCTATATACCATTTGACACCCACAGGTGCATACAAAAAAAAAAAAAAAAAAAAAAATTCTTCCTAACCTGTTAATTAGTATAACTGATCATGGGAAAAAATAATAAAAAAATCATAAGTGGCATATATTGCCCGCTATAGAGCGGGGAAGTCTGGCAAAAAACAGGCGCTGACTCAGCGTGCGTCCCAGGCGGTCTGTTGCTCGCCAGCTTTCAGGCCGGAGTTGCCACAAAGAGATAATTACCTAATTATTTCAATGTCTCTGATTGATTTTTCGTAGTTTTTTTGCTGTAATATTATTCAATAGTGTGTAGTGTGATATATTTATATAATAAAATGAGTGAATCATCGCTGTACTCAAAAATATGGTGTGCATATTGTTGATTCAATTATGTTCATCAAACAGTGAACAAATACTTTGTCAGTTATTACACTATATACACAGGTTATATATAAGTTTCTGCATGTTTTGTTCACCATAACGAACCACTAAGTTGGCATGCTGAGTGGCAGTGGCAGCGGCAGTGGCAGCCCGCCACTGGCTGCCACTCCCTCCCTCCCTCACCTCACCTGACTTGCCACCATTCTCCACCCACCATACTGTTTTTGCTTTTATATACAGACGTTATATATAAGTATTTACATGTTTTGTTCACCATAACTGTACATCTAAGCTTGTATGGTGAGTAAAGGCACAAAGACGTAGCTACTCACACAGTCAGCTGATTGCTATCGACCTCAAGGCCAGACGCACTAATATTTCTCCAACAATACTGTTTGTGGTGTTATTACGCTATATACACACATTATATATAAATATCTACCTGTTTTATTCACCATACTTGTACAAGTAAACTGGTATGGTGCCCTAAGACCATCGTGTGAAACAAGAACAGTAAACAACATGATAAATCGTGCAGACGACGCCACCGCCCTCACCAAAATGGTGGCTCCCAACCTCCTACTCTTGCTGTTCATACACACGTTATATATAAGTATCTACATTTGTGTTCATCATAGCGAACCACTAGGCTGGTATGGTGAGTGCAGTCAATAAAAGGTGGCCACACACAGTCAGAAGACATCGCCACCACCCTCCCTCCCACAGCATTACTCCTCCCTCCATCGAGCACAGCGCTAAATATCACCACAATCCTGCTATTATCAGAACCCTGGTCAGTTTTATCACAGTCAGGGGTCTTCTGTAATAATATCACCGCTACATAATAGCACGAACAAGTATATTATGGCATTTTTAGGCGATGCTGTGGTCACAAGCTGAACAGCAGCGCTGTGAGCTCATGCTGCGTGCGTCAGGCTTGGTAGCTCACTCAATACTGAGGCCCCTTACACCCAGGAATTTGGCCCAAAATTTAAAAAAAAAAATGGCGTCTGTTTACAAGAGCCCTGATGAAGGTGTGGTGAACCCTGTGTATCCGCGGGCCGTTTAAATCTGGCGTAGTACTCCAAAGCATCATATGATGCGATGCGCAATTTACTGCAAGTCGGTCAAAGCATCATATGATGCGATGCGCAATTTACTGCAAGTCGGTCAAAGCATCATATGATGCGATGCGCAATTTAAGGGTTATCCACAGGAAAAGGCTGGCTGGTTGGCCTGCTGCCAGCCAGCCCCCATTCTCTCCCCACTCCCTTCCCCTCCCCTCCCCTCCCCTCCCCTCCCCTCCCCTCCCCTCCCATCCCATCCCATCCCATCCCATCCCATCCCATCCCATCCCCTCCCCCCATCTTTGTCTCCTCCTTCTTCTTCTTCTTTTTCTTCTTCTTTTTCTTCTTTCTCGCCATCCTAGAGGCGTTACTGTGGCTCCGGTCCCGCCTTCGGCTGTTCTGTGTGGATGGGGCTCAAGCTGTTGTATGGGAGTTTGACCTTCATCATGCTACTTTCCCAGCCGGGTCGAGTCGGGCTTCGGCGGTGGTTTTAGTCCCTTCCGCCTCTCTCGCGATCACTGGGTTCAGCCTCCGGAGGACTTGCGTCGGTTGCTGCATTGCCAACTCCCTCTTTGGGTTTTTTCGGGGTTCAATGCCTTTGTGCCTTCCCGAGCCTTCACTCAAGGTGTTCACGGATGCCTCGTCTTTCGACTGGGTCTTTGTAATCAGTGCTCACCAGGCCGGCCAGGGGCAGTAGGGTCTTTCTTTCCGTTGGGCTCACAGCACGAGACAGATGTTCGCGGCTGTTTGGGTGTCGCTTCAAAGGGTTTGAGTCACTGTGGTTCCACAATCCGGCTTCATTTGGACTACTCTCCGGGGTATTCACTGTCTGAACCTCAGGGGTTTTGTTCGGTCCTTGGCTCTTTGGGGATGGTCGTTTCGAGTGGCTTGTCTGCCAGATTAGCTCTCCATGCAGCTCCCATCCAGGGTGTGTCCATTGTCCTTGCAGACAGCCTGTCTTGGCTCCTTCCCCTGTCTGCGGAATGAATAGTCGACACCAACTCTTCCTGTTGTCCCTGCCGGACGTACGGGCGCCCGGAGGTAGACCTCTTCGCGTCAGCATGGTCTGGGGGTCTTACTGTATGTGTGGCACCCTTCCCTGACTGCAAAGCCTTTGCGGTGGACGCTTTTAAGCAGGACTGGTTGAGGTGGGGTTACCTGTATCTCTTCCCCCCTGTCCAGCTGTTGCTTCGGGTTCTGGCTCAGTTGGAGCCTTAACAGGGGAGAGTAGTCCTGTTGGCCTCTTGGTGGCTAGCCCAGCCTTGGTTTCAGGCGCACTTACTTGGTGTCCAAACCCACGATGTTTTCTGCGGCTCCACCTCTTTCAGCAGATCAGTCCCATCTAGTACCTGGCTAGTTCAATCTTCTCCTCTGCTCTTCGCGTCTGGTCTTTTTGTATGGGTTTATCGCCACTTGTATGGTGATCAAGTTGATGGTATCCCACCTGAGAGCTTCGTCTTGGCAACAATATGAAGTTTCCCGGTGTTCTTTCCGCCGTTTCCTCTCTCTTTGTAGGTTGTCTTCTATTTCTTATCAGGGTTGCTTTGTCCTTTCTTTCTTGACCTTTTCAGGGCCGTCCTTTGATTCCTCATACTGTCACCTCGTATCGTGCGGTGCTAGAGGAGCCGTTCCTGCTTGCTTTCGTGGTGGATGTCACTTCCTCCCCGTTCTGTAAGCTTCCTCATGCTTTGTTTCATCTCCAGCCACCCGAGCCATCCTGGTCTTTGGACCGGGTGGTCTCTTTTCTCTTCTCTCCTAGGTTTGTGGAGGCCCCTTCAGTTCAGGTTTGTTTTCCCAAGGCTCTCTATCCTGTTGGCCTTGGCCTCTGGGAGTCGGATCGGGGAGCTTCTTAACACTTTCGCGCTTTAGATTAGAGATAACTCGTCGCCGTTTTTTCTTACGATTCCGCATAACAGCCTACTTTTCTCGTCCATCGAAAAAATATTTCTATAAATTCCATTTTTTAACCGAAATGGATGGGGATACTCTCAGATTATATACGTTTTGTAGAGAATTTATTTGCGAATTTTTTGGTACCAGAATGAATATTATATCACATAAACTTCTATGAGTAAAAAAAAAAAAACACAAAGTATGTTTGGGGGGGTGTGGCTCTGGGTGTGGCGGGCGTGTGGCAGTGGGTTCCCTTTAGCCGTTGATATATCCAACACGTGGGAAATATTTGTATGTGTTATGTATATGTCTGTGTAGGGAATTTTACTGCGATCACTGTCATACAAATTATAAAATGTTTCAACAAGTATAAACATGACAAACATCAAACGAACGAAAACAATGCGTTCGTTTCTGCCGCGAACGCATACTGAGCGACGTGGTTCTATATTTGGCGCTTCTCTTACACATGCTTTGTACAAATGTTATACATTTCATCTTATAGAAAATTTTATTGCGAACACATTGGTATAAAAAAGAAATACGTACATAGAAAAGTAGGGTCAGGAAACGTATAAATGTATAAACTTTCCAAGCATGATTTCCCCCCTGTGTTTTCGCCAGTGCGCTCGCGGCTAACTACTCTCCACTTCACACACTCTTGCGGGTGGGCAATTACCTATATTAAACATTCATATGCATATGTCCGTGTAGAGAATTTTATTGCGATTCCAATGATACCAAAATTAGCGATGTAGGACAACTGTAGGCTTCGCAACCATTAAGAGAGTGGAAACATTTTGTTGCTGTTTGGCGCTCTCGGCGAGTGATCTGCATAGTTTTTTATTTGGTGTTGATACTCCTTATGCTTGGGCGGCATTTTATAGGTATGCTCTTATAGACAATTTCATTGCGAACACAGTGATACCAAATTTAAATACGTGCGCCTTCAATTATTGTCAGGACAGTCAAAAGAGTGTACACTTTTTCGGTCTTACCGCGTAGGCGCGCGAAGTGCCGAAAGCATCTGGGGTATTGTTTTTTTTTGAGCGCCGAGAGCGCGAAAGTGTTAATCTGTGGTCCCGGGTTCGATCCCGGACGCCGGCGAGAAACAATGGGCAGAGTTTCTTTCACCCTATGCCCCTGTTACCTAGCAGTAAAATAGGTACCTGGGTGTTAGTCAGCTGTCACATACTGCTTCCTGGGGGTGGAGGCCTGGTCAAGGACCGGGCCGCGGGGACAATAAAGCCCCGAAATCATCTCAAGATAACCTCAAGAATGACAACTCCATATTACTAATGCCCCAGACTAATAATAACTAATATTAGTCCAATAGCTCCAGGAAGCCTCCGGGCTCTACCCATAAAATGGGGTTTCATTACATTCAACACTTGTTTTTTTTAACATTGGTATAGATGTAGTGGTCTGTTATCTTCCAAAAGGTTTCATCATCATTGTGGTTACATTGAACATATATATAGTTTTCTCTTTTATTGTTCATTTTATATGAGTGGAAACTAAATTTATTTTTAGTATTACTAAATAATTTTGTTTATCTTTCCTATTTAACAGGTTGGTCACCTAACATTCCCAATCTTGTGTGAGTATGTCGAACCTAAAGTGTTCACCATCACAGATGAACAAATGATCGAAGGAATGAAACTTGTATTTGAGCGAATGAAGGTAAGCCTTTTTGGAATGCTTGTAATGCAGATTTTTTTTAGATACCCTGGGAGCTCTATATAGCTTGCACTCTAGTGAAGCCAAGACCTAAGAAGTACACCAGGTTTCTGAGACCTATGCTGATCTAGCAGGAGCCAGGACCAGAATCTGGCTCTCTCTATGAGGCAAGGGAACCTTTTGGAGCAGAGGTTGACCAAAAACCAAGAAAAACCAATCTGAGAGAGAGGCAAAACAAAACTAAACAAACTTTTGCTTGAAGAAATTAAGAAATTTTCAATTAAACAAGGCAGTCAATCATTGCCTTTGACAAACATTACTGTACTATGATGAACCTGATGGCCACCAGATGGTGGTCCAGGTCATTCGGGAACCCAGCCAACCATCCTCTTCACTCACCTGGTGCAGTTGAGGCCGCTCGCTCTTCTTTCAGCTAAGTGGTGATGACAAATTCTGGAACTGTAGCTCTATCGGAGGCTATTGCTTTATTTGATCCAATTTTGTTTCATGAATGTGTTCAGTTCCACCAATATTGTGTATTCTCTGTATACTACTTTGCTCTGGTTGTGTGCCAGGGGTTACCTTCCCTAGTAGCCAGCCTGCATTTTCCTTGCTGTATCATAGATACCTGCTCTTGAGAGTTGGGTTTCACCTCATGTTCTCAGTTGACTGGGACAAGTTCATATCCCGAGTTCATTCCATGTCGGATTGTGCAGTTTGCAATTTCACAGGTTGTAATTCGTAATTTTTTAGTATCATTGATTCTTTCTCTTGGATGTATGGCTGCCCTCAACCTTCCCTTGTGGATGATTGTAGATCTGTGTCTTGCCTCCCATGGTGTTTAATGGGATTTTTGAATGTTTTCCTGTTTCTTTGGGCTCTTTGCCCTCATCTTTGGAGTTTTTACATTTGGCTTTTCTAGTTCTAGGCTGTAAGAATGGTTTGGCTCATTCTGGCTGCACTGCATGCTCCTTAGTCTGCAGGCTTTGTGCCCTTTGCCTTTCAGGCACCATTCCTGGTCATAGTGAAGTGTTCTGTTTATTTTCACTTTGGGTCTGAGGCCATTGGTTCTCTCTGGTTCGTTGGTTGATTCTCTGGGCTGTGTGCTCTTGGTTTGTGTTCCTTACACCTAGTTCTTTTGAGGAGTGGGTTCCTGGCTTGGGTTAGGGTTCCTCCACTTCACGTATGTGACTTTCTGGCTACCTCTTTCCCCAGTTTTGGGAATGCCAGGTGTACCTCAATCTTAGGCTGGGTTCTCTTCTTCTGGTGGTTAGTTCTGTGCATTTGTCCAGCTTTTGAGGTCCTTTCTGAGTCAGAAAGTTTGAAGTATTTCTTTCTCTGTTTTTCTCATTCCTGGTGCTATTTGGATATTATGTTCTGGCTGAGGTTCTTTGGTGTCCTCGAGTAAGTTTTCTATCCAGAACCACTACTAGATCTCTCTCTCTGAGAATTCTTTAAAGCTATTTCAAATAATTTATAGGTTGTGTGTGTGGTCTATTTTCTCTTATTCCACATTCCAGAATGTGGCATTTATTCACATTAAATTCCATTTGCCAAGTGTTGCTCCATTCACTTATTTTGTCCAGGTCTTCTTGAAGGGCATGACACTTGTCTAAGTTTCTTATCTTCCCTAGTAGCTTGGACTCACCAACAAACATGTTCATATTATTCTATATTCCTTCTCGTAGATCATTTATATGGACAATGAACAATGGTGTCCATATACTACTGAACCATATAGTACTCCTCTAGTACCATTTCTCCAGTGTGATACATTGCCTCTGATTACTGCCTTAATTTTTCTGTCAGAATTTTTTTTATCTGTCAGAAATTTCCCTGTCACTCCTCCAGTATTTCCAGTTTCCAGAACAACCTCTTTTGTAGGACTGGAAAGCCTTTTCTATGTCTAGAAAAGTGCAGTCAACCATATTATCTCGTTCCTGTAAAATCTCTTGTGGCTCTGTCATAGAAACTAAATACAATAGATTTGTTACACAGGCTCTTCCTAATCAAAAATTTTGTCTGTCTGTTTTTATATCATTTTTCTCCAAGTGTTCTACTCATTTGGTTTTAATTATTTTTTCCAATGTTTTGATTACTATGCTCATGAAGGACACAGGTTGTAATTAACGGGGTCTTCCCTGCTACCATTTTTGTTTATTAGAACTGTGTTGCCTTTTTCTATATATCTGCCAAGACTCCTGTACACAAAGATGACTAAAAAATCAATTGAATTGGAGTGCTGAGCTCAGATGCACATTCTCTCAGAGCCCAAGGTGAAACTCCATCTCGGCCAACTGCTTTGTTCCTACTTGGCTCTTTGAGTAATTTTTCCACTTCGTTTTGAGACACCTCTATGTACTCTGTTATTCTCTGAAATTTATGTTTTGTCTGGTTCTCTGAAAACTCAATTTTGAAAACAAAAACTCAAACAAACACATCTTGAAAATGTTCATTTTGTGTTTTCACACATTTCCTTTTCATTCTCTGTAAATCTGTTCTCGATTTTCAAGCCCTGAATATTATCCTTTACCTGCAATTTGCTTTTAATGAATTTATAGTACTGTACTGTATATGCCTGGTTCTGTTTTACATTTGTCTGCTCTCCCTTCTCAAAAATTTGTTCTGCATCTCTTCTCACTGCCATGTAGTTGTTTCTTTCTTCTTTGTATTACTGGTCTTGGAGATCTTCTGCCCTTCACACGGCTTTGCTTCACCAGAACACAAGCTTTGGGGAGCTACCGAGGACCTACCAGAAAAAAGTACAGTATTTCAATATATTCAACACTTGTTTTAAGCAATACAGTACCTTATTGTCCTGATTTTAATCTTTTTAATAATATAGTAGAGTATGGATTTTTACAGTTTACAAATAATAATACTGTATAATTCAACATGAAATTTTAGATTGTGTATACTGTTTTCCGTGATCGCTACTGTCTTCGCTACTTTCCATGGTCTCTACAACACCCTCACTCTCACTTATGTCATACTTTGACCATTACCTTTCCTCTGGGCCCTGTTTCCTTTCACCACCTTCCCTTTTATGTACGATTGTCATGCTTGCAAGGTTCTCTCTCGGTTCATGTTACCAATGTTTCTCCTTGTGTCGTTCCATCCTTGCCCCCCCCCCATGGAGGGGACCTTTTTCCTAAGTTTTGAAGAACCTTGACCCACATGACTAAAGCTTTTACCCCTCCTACAGTTCTGAAATGCCTTTTCCTTGCTCACTTTTCTTCACACTCCCGCTCCATCTCCGTCTTCACAGATGGGTTTAAGTCTGCTGATGGTGTAGGCTACTCTGTTTTTCCTGACCGCACTTATATGTGTCGCCTTCCTCCAGAGGCTAGCATCTTCACAGCAGAACTTTATGCTGTTCTCTTGTATTATTATTATTCTCTTCTAAAATACTCCCTTGTATTTCCTGACTGCACCAATATGTGTCACCTGCCTCGGGAGACTAGTATCTTCACGGCAGAACTTTTTGCAATTTTGTGTGCTCTTCATCAACTGCTTTCTCACTGTCATTCTTCCTTTGTTGTTGTCGTTGACTCTCAGAGTGCCCTCATGGCTCTAAAGTCCTTTAATCCTGTCCATCCTGTGGTTGTCAAAATTCAATATTAGCCGTTTCTTATCACCAGCATATTTGAGACAGTCGAATTTTGCTTGGTTCCCAGCCATATTGGTGTTTCCTTAAATGAGCATGCAGATGCTGCCGCGAAGGAGGCTATCTGCGCTTGTCCCATTTCCCGCAGTGGTGTTCCTTATTTCGACTTCTACCCAATTATTCATTCCTCAAGGTCTCCTGTTACTGGTAACAAGCTGTGTGCTCTTAAAGGTAGCGTGTCCCTGTGGCCTTCCTCCTACCACCGTAACCGGCGGTGGGAAACAGGTTACACATTGGCCATACCCATTTAACTCACGGGCACTTATTGGAGCGTTGCCCTGCTCCTTATTGTCCAAACTGCATTGTCCCCTTATGTACGTGCATATCCTTGTTAAATGTCCTGACTTTCAGGATGTGTGTGTGTCTTGCGTTTCGACTGTCCCTTGTGGTCATCGGGCCCTCGATAGTATCCTTGGTGAATCTGATACCTTTAATGTTGTTTGCCTTATGTGCTTTTGTTCTCGTATTGGCATCCCTAGTGATATTTAGCGCCTTTTGAATATCACGCACATTTGACGGTGCTACAAAGCCTCCTCGGCTTGGTGCCTTCTTTTGATAATTACATACTTCCCTGGTGCTGTGGTTACAACTATTCACCCTCAGAGTTGTCTTCTTTGAGGTATTCTTCTCTGGGAGAAACCTTTTGAGTTCACTCAGTGCTAATAATTGAGGACCTGGCCATTGAGGAGAGATCCTTAAATAAAGAGGGAAAACTGTGTAATTTCTGACAGTATATTCTGAACTATGGTGTGTGCCCCTTTAGTTTATAGGAAAAAGAGTACTTGCAAGGTTACTCGTCTCATTGGGGCTGGTCACCTAGGCCTGATGAGCCTGCAGTAACATGGGATGACCTAGTGGACCGAGCATCTGGAAAGCTCAGGAGCTTTCTAGGTGCTGCCCAGAAAAGAGCATTTCATTCCACTCATCATTTTATTTCTTTTTCCAGTTGGTTGTAGAGGCTGCCCCTGGAGCTGCTGTGTATGCTGCAGTCAAATTAATGAAAGAGTTTGATCCAACAGCTCAAAAAGTTGGCGTCATTCTCTGTGGAGGCAATGTGGACTTGGAATGTTTGCCATGGGTCACTTACAAGAAGTCCTATTAACTGGCATTGCTTTTAGACATTTACAGTATTTTTAATTATTTTTACCTACACACACACACAACCTATGAAGCAAGAATGGAGGCCATTTGAACAGGCTGATTTGTAAACCTCATCCTGGAAATATTCATGCATGAACACATTAAGCAAGCTACAAGAATGACGGAAGGGGATGTTCCATCAATACTGGATTTAATATTCACTGTGGATTTACTGGATTTAATATTCACTGTGGATTTACTGGATTTAATATTCACGGTGGATTTATTGGATTTAATATTCACACTGTGGATTTCATGAGTAATAGAATCATCATAGAAATCCAGTCTTCCTGATTCTTGTGCAAGAGAAAGCAAAAGTCTTTTTTTTTTTTTGATGACTTAAGTAAGAAATTCGGTGCAACTGATTGATAAAACAATTGTGGCAGGTCATAAGGGTTTAACAGATCTAAGGGTAGTGTAAATTTACAACATGGAGCAACTGAATTTGTTCCAAATTGGTCAAAATCATTGAAGGTGGAAACTATGTGGAAACTATTGGGCTTAACAAGTGTCTAATGTTGATGAAACTGGCATGTTGAGAAAAAAAATGCCTGATAATATACATTTCCAAAGAAAAAAAAATACCTTTCTTCAAGGCTGCAAAAGACTGCCGAATTCTGTTGCTTGGAGGAAATACGGCTGGTGATTGTAAACTAAAGCCTCTGCTTGTGTACCCTCCACAAAATCCCAGAGCTTTAAAGACTGTGCCAAAATCATCTCTTGGCAGTGGTGTGGAAAGCTGCTCCCAAGGGTAACATAACATGTATTTAGAGACTTATATTTACACCAATTTGTGCCTAAAGGAAATTATATTGTGCTAAAAAGAAGATTGATTTTAACGATTTGTTCGTACTGTACAGTGCACCTGGACACCCTATATACTTTGACAATTTGAATAAAAGTATCAAGGTTGTATTTTTGCCACCAAACACAGCCTCTTTGCTGCTACTGATAGACCAAGGAGTGATAAGATCATTCATCACCCAGAGAACCTTTGTCTAGGCACTTCATGTAACTGATAACATAGGCAGTTACCTCATGAAGCTGGACAGGTTACAACATGTAAGAGTCATTTAAGAACATGGAAAAATCGTGGGGTGAAGTTAGTGACCAACATGAATGGTGTTTGTCGTCAATTTGTGAATCATTTCAAGAGTTGTGAGGAATAGTTGAAAAAACTGACAGGAAACATTGTTGATATTGCAACAGAGCTAGATGTTGAGCTAGATGAGGAAAATGTGGAAGAGTTGTTCAGCTCTCATTCAGAGGAGCCCTTTGATGATGACCCGCTTGTGTTTGCAACCCATGCATCATCTTAAACATCAACAGCAGCCACTGACAGTAAAGATGACCAGACAACCTCTGCCACCTGTGCACCTACTGCCTCTTGCACCACCAACTAAATCTCTTCTCTCCTCAAAAACAGCTAACTTTGACAAGCAGGAGAACTCCATCTTTCAAGGTAATTAATGTAGTGTGTCTTTGTATGTCACAAAAATACTGATGTTGTGGTGAATTTTGGTGGTCTGGGAACGTATCCCTCTTTTATAGCATTGCAGTGGAAAATCTTGTTCTGCATTTTGAACAACTGCTCTTCGAAAACTGTTTCCGAATGTAACCTGGTTATAAATGAGGGGAACACCCTGTATTTCATATTTTGTCAAACTTCTCCCTTTAGTACTGTATTAAATACTAATAAAAAATCATTTATTCTTTTTTTAATATTATCCTTGGTTAACCCCTTGCTAATACTGTAATTAATCATTTAGTATTTAGATTTATAACTTTTCTGGGGGAAAAGGCCCAAGGTGGCTCCCTCCAGCTACCTACCCGGGTAGCCCTACACATATTAGTGATGTGTCGCACAAGGCCCTTGCACATCATAAACACTGGAGACCACAGACAAAATCTGATTCACTCAGTTAACTATGACCGAAAAAGTAAGATTAATAATTCTAACACAAATTTTCTCAATATTTCTTATGTTTCTTTTCACTGTCGATGGTAATTGAAAAATCAATTCTTCAAAATTCATTTTTATTTCTAGTCTGACGCGACACTTGAACGCGTTTCGTAATAACTTATTACATTTTCAAAGACTTTAGTTTACACACACACACCTATAACCTGCAAACACTAAACAGAGTTCTACTATGCTATGATTTAAACAGCTTTCATCTTATATACCCGCATTTTGGGTGAGGTGATATGTTACAATAGTTTTGGATGAGGTGAACAAAACTTTCAACACAAGACAGAACACGAAACAATGGGTATAAATTGGGTAAATTAAAGGGAAGAATGGAAGTAACTGCAAAGGGCCTATTGGCCCATATTTCTTGATTCTTCTATATTGGTGCGGAGTCTTGAAGTGGGTAGAATATAGTTGTGCATTAATTGGCTGTTGATTGCTGGTGTTGACTTCTTGATGTGTAGTGCCTCGCAGATGTCAAGCCGCCTGCTATCGCTGTATCTATCGATGATTTCTGTGTTGTTTGCTAAGATTTCTCTGGTGATGGTCTGGTTGTGGGAAGAGATTATATGTTCCTTAATGGAGCCCTGTTGCTTATGCATCGTTAACCGCCTGGAAAGAGATGTTGTTGTCTTGCCTATATACTGAGTTCTTTGAGGCTTACAGTCCCCAAGAGGGCATTTGAAGGCATAGACGACGTTGGTCTCTTTTAAAGTGTTCTGCTTTGTGTCTGGAGAGTTTCTCATGAGTAGATTGGCAGTTTTCTTGGTTTTATAGTAAATCGTCAATTGTATCTTCTGATTTTTGTCTGTAGGGATAACATTCCTATCAACAATATCTTTCAGGACCCTTTCTTCCGTTTTATGAGCTGTGAAAAAGAAGTAACTGTAAAATAGTCTAATAGGGGGTAAAGGTGTTGTGTTAGTTGTCTCTTCAGAGGTTGCATGGCGTTTCACCTTCCTCCTTATGTCTTCAACGAAACCATTGGAGAAGCCGTTGTTGACTAGGACCTGCCTTACCCTACAGAGTTCTTCATCGACTTGCTTCCATCCTGAGCTGTGGCTGAGAGCACGTTCGACATACGCATTAACAACACTCCTCTTGTACCTGATGTTAGACATCTGCAGGAGCTGAAAGAGGCATTTAAGCGGAATTCTGTGTTGCTTTTCACTTACGAGATGGAGAAGGATGGGAAGCTGCCCTTTCTAGATGTAACAGTCATGGAAAGGAGCGGAGGTTTCACACTGCAGTCTACACTAAGGAAACAAACATAGGAATGTGCCTCAATGCCAACAGTGACTGCCCAGACAGGTACAAGAGGAGTGTACCTGTCTGGGTACACCCCCCCCACAAAAAAAAAGTCCCGCTTTCCCTTCCTGATCTTATAAGCACCTGGACTCCTTGCCTGAGCCGGTACTCCTGTTGGGTGATTTCAACTGTCAACGTACCCCTCTGGGGTGATGTTCTGACAAACACTCGAGGCTGTCTTCTCGAATCATTCGTCCTTTCTTCTTCTCTTGTCTCTTCTGAATTCTGGTGAGTCCACCCATGTGGACTCTCGAACTCGCACCCTTTCCTATCTTGATCTTTTTCTCTGCTCGTCGTCCCCTTACTTAGATCTCATGTGGCGGGTTCTTGATGACCTCCATAACAGTGAAAATTTCCCCATCCTTGTTTCCGTTTTCTCTTTACACCCGCCGCTCTCCTTCCCTAGGTGGCAGTTTGCCAAAGCTGACTCGAACCTATTCACCCTCCATGCTACTCTCTAACCTTTCCTCTCTGCCTCTTCCTCGCGCCCTCCTCCTTTTTCATGACACTGTCTTTGACGCTGGCCTCCACTCTATTCCTCACTTTACCTCCCGGGGCACGCGGAAGTGTGTTCCCTGGTGGAATGCGGACTGTGCTCAGGCTGTCCACTGTAAGCGTGCAGCCTGGAAGAAACACCGACGCCGGCAGACGGCTGATTCTTTTATTTTGTTTCAGAAAGTAAGTGTGGTGGCTCGTAGGACCATCCATACAGCTAAACATGAGAGTTGGAAATCTTATGTTTCACCATTATGTCCGATACTCCTCTGCCGCAGATCTGGAAGAAGATTCGCAAGATTGCGGGCAAGTTCGTTCCATATATCTCGCCGGTTCTTCACCTCCGTGGTACTCCTGTGGCGAACCGAGTGCAGTTCGCGACCGAACTGGGTTCCCACTTTTCTTCTGTTAGCTCTAGTTCTCATCTTTCTCAATCCTTCCTTCTTTGTAAGCCCGTTCTTGAATCTCATCCCTTAGATTTTCACACTCATCTCCGCCTTCCCTATAACAATCCCTTCTCTCTCTCTCTCTGATCTTCAGTCTGCCCTGGCTCTCTGTGGTTCTACAGCAGCGGGCTCAGATGATATTCATTATGAGATGCTTCGCCATCTCCCTTCTTGCACGTCTAGGTATTTACCGAGTCTGTATAACCAGGTCTGGGAGTCGTTGTCAGTCCCTGAGGACTGGCTCGATGCCATTGTTTTTCCCATTCGGAAACCGGGGTCTCTCGGGACATCCCCTAAAGACTTCCGCCCTATTGCTCTCACGAGTTGTGTCTGCAGACTCTTTGAGCGTATGGTAATTGTTCGTCTGATGTGGTTCTTGGAACACCATCACCACCTCTCTCCTTCTCAATTTGGTTTTCACAAGTGCTGTAGCACGACTGATGTCCTGGTGAATTTGGAGGTCTATATTCGTACTGCTTTTGCTGTGAAGACCTCCGTTGTTGCTGTCCTTTTTGACCTGGAAAAGGCTTATGACACAACCTAGAGATACCATATTCTGTCCCAACTTCGTTCTTTTATCCTTCGTGGTAATCTCCCTCTCTTCCTCCAAAGCTTCCTTTCGAGTCAGGCTTGGTGCCACTCTCTCTCTGCCTCTTTTCGGCAATGCGGATGTGTACCCCAAGGTAGTGTTCTGAGCACTACTATTTTTCTGGTTGCCCTCAATGATCTTCTTTCCTCCCTTCCTTCTGGCATCTTCTCCACTCTTTATGTCGACGATCTTACTCTTTGCTGTCGAGGTGATGATTCGCCTCTCCTTCAACAGCGGCTTAAACTTGCGATTGATGTCGTGTCGTCTTGGGCCACCAATCATGGTTTCAAGTTCTCTGCAACTAAGACTTGTACCAAGACTTTTACTCGAAAGCATGTCGTCCTTCGTCCTTCTTTCTTGCTTTATGGTCATCCCCTTGTGTACAAATATTCCACGAAGCTTTTGGGGTTAATCTTTGACGCTTGTTTGTCTTGCTCGCCCCATATCTCTTGCCTCCGTGTTGAGTGCTCTAAGGTCCTTAACACTTTCGCTCACCCCGCACGCCACCCCTCAATAGTGCGATATGGGACCCAGGGTGTCACGGGAGCGTGCGTAAATTCTGAAAAGTGTATGCTCTCTTCAACTTTGTCACCTTAATTCTCGTCCTACAAGAATAAATTTGGTATCATTGTGTTCGCAATAGAATTCTCTACAGCACTAAATGCATATAAACTCCAAAAGCCCGGCTAATTACCCGCAGCAAACAGAGAAAGTGCGACGAGTTACCCAGGAGCGCGCAAACGCGATAAAATGTTTTCACTATTTTCACTCTGGTCACATCAATTTTTGTCCTAGGTCTTTCATTTTGGTCTCAATGGGTTCGCAATAGAATTCTCTAGAGGAACATTAGCATATAAAATATAAAACCTGGTCACGCTCCAACCGCCGACGAGTTGAAGACGGGCCACACGTTAGCCGGGAGTGAGCGCTCAGACGCCTTCCAGCTACACTCCCAATTCCCTCCCTTTTCAAGCCTTTCTTTCGCAATTTTCTTCCTGGAAGGGCCTTGTTCATGATCACTATCCATCGTGAAGTAAGGGTAGATAGTTTCTAAAGCCGCAGTAAGAAATATAGCCACGGAAAATAGCCGAAATGTTCACACGTTTGAGATGCGAGGGGAGGCGACATTGGTCACAACAGTGGAGCGAAAACAATGGGCCCACGGCATGTGCCAATCCACCTGAGGGCCACGAGGCTCAACAAAGAAAATGGGAAGACATCGGCGCACATTTTAAAACCAGTCCCCAAAAAATCGGATAAAAACCTGATTTTTGGCGATTATTTAAAGTGGATGACGCAACACTGCGTCATCCCCGGTATTACCGCCAGTAAACGGATGACGCAATGCTGCGTCATGCCCGGGCGAAAGTGTTAATCTACTTAAGGTTCTGTCACTTACTTCTTGGGGAGCAGATAGGCGCACGCTCTTCTCTTTGCATTCTTCTCTCATACTGTCTAACTCGATTATGGTTGCCCTGCTTACTCTTCTGCTTCTCCTACTCTTAGCCGTCTTGATCCTTTGCACCATACTGGGTTGCGCCTCAGATCTTGTGCTTTTTGTTCGACTCCTACCCTTAGCTTGTATGTTGACACTGCCTTCCTGTCTCTCCAGGAACGCCGAGTTCGCTACTGTCTTCGCTACCTTTCGCGGTCCTTACAACACCCCCACTCTCGCCTGCGTCGTGCTTTGATTTTTTCCGCTCCTGTAGTTCCTGTTCCCCTTCACCACCTTCCTCTTTCTGTCCAGTTGTCTCACCTGCAACATTCTCTTTCGGTTAGTATTATTAATATTTCTTCTCGTGTTGTTCCATCCTTGCCCTCGTGGAGGGTCCCCCCTTCCTCAATATTGCAAATCCCTGACCCACATCACTAAAGCTATTACTCCTTCAGTTCTGAAAGGCC